TTGTAAAAAAAAAAAACTAAAAAATTAATAATAAATAAAAAAAAAGGAGAATGAATAATAATATATTTATTATCATTATTCCACGACAATGATTAACACAAAACTACAGCACCAATGCGGACTCCTAACTTGATTTCGCGCCAATCGCGCAGTGCTCCGACATCTCCAACCACGCTACGTGCGTGTGCTACTCTTCACTGTGGGACCTTCATTCGCGCTCGGGATCTCGATCCACGTGATCCTCTACCATGATACCCTGACCCATGTGATCCTCCACCGTGCGACATCGATCCACATGTGCGTCCTAGATACGTACATCTCTCCACAACTGTTGCGATGCAACTCGCTCGGTCCTACGAACATCAATTCGCGAGCGCGCTCTCAAACGGATAAATAAAAAATATTATTTCTCCACCCCACGCCAACAATTATCGGTACACCACGACACCGATATACTCTCGACACGATCTGGTATTCTTTTCGACTCGACTCCCACATTGAATCGAGAGTGGGGGGCTTCACGAGGAGCCAACTCCCTCGGTACCACTACCCACAGCCGAGATAACTCCAACAAGGAGACAACTCGCTCGGTACTACAACCCATAGCGAGACAACTCCCACGAGGAGACAGCTCGTTCGGTACTACGAACCAGCAGCGAGACAACTCCCACGAGGAGCCAACTCGCTCGGTACCACAACCCGCAGCGAGACAACTCCCACGAGGAGACCACTCGCTCCGTCCTATAACCCCTTGCGAGGCAACTCCCACGAGGAGCCAACTCCCTCGGGTCTAGGAAACCACAGCGAGATAACTCCCACGAGGAGATAACTCGCTTCGTCCTATAACCCCTTGCGAGGCAACTCCCACGAGGAGCCAACTCCCTCGGGTCTACGAAACCACAGCGAGATAACTCCCACGAGGAGATAACTCGCTCAGTCATATAACCCGTTGCGAGGCAACTCCCACGAGGAGTCAACTCCCTCGGGTCTACGAACCCACAGCGAGATAATTCCTACGAGGAGACCACTCGCTCCATCCTACGACCCGCAGCGAGGAAACTCCCACGAGGAGCCAACTCGCTCGATACTACAAATCTGTTGCAAGGCAACTCCCACGTGCAACCACCTCGCTCGATAATAAGACTCGCAGTGAAATAACTCCCACGAGGAGACAACTCGCTCAAAGCAACCTCAATCCGCGCGCGCCTCAATCGCGCGTCATCCAATGCTCCTACAACTTCGCTGCAAGACAACTCTCTCGAAGAGACAACTCGCTCGCAATGCACTACATAATCGCAAGCTCAAGTTAGCACGATTACAACCCTAGAAACACTTAGAGATATTATGAGAATCTATATAGCCTGGCCAGCTTGATTACTCAAAATTTATCTACTTGTTTTCGAGGGGTCCTTCATTAAAACGTGGCCACGGTCCAAACATACTTACGACCCACGAGGTCTAACAAGGGGCACGATCCCCATAAAAAAAAAAAAAAAAAAAAACTCTTGAGAGCCTGATCCCCTCTTCAAGTACATCACGCACAAGGCTATATATAAACACATACAAGCAACGCGTCAAAACATTGACAATGTCGATAAATAACAACTCCCACGAGGAGAATACTAGCTCCGTGCTACTATATTATCGCGAGACAACTCCCACGAGGAGATAGCTCGATCAACTCTATTACCCCACGACGAGACAACTCCCACCAGGAGATTACTTGATCCGTGCTACCACATTATCGCGAGACAACTCCCATGAGGAGATAACTCGATCAACTATATTACCCCGCGACGAGACAACTCCCACAATGAGATAATTCGCTACTACATCGTCGCGGGACAACACCGATGACTCAAATAACTTACATAGCGACAACTTGGTCGCGCTACGCGCCAACGCGCATTCACGCCCCTCCGACACACGCTCTAACGCATTTTCGCACACCATTAGGCCATACGCCAACGATCGACTTCTACAATTTTTACTCTCGACACGATTTGAGACCCATCACAACATGGCCCCCACATCGACTCGAGAGTGGGGGGCTTAATGATATGCCTAATTGGGCCAACCCAATGGGCCTCCAATTTCTTTACCTACTGGGCCACGAGCCCAATATCGAAGACCACTATCATCGAGGCCCAATCACCTTCAAGTAAGGTTTGGGCCCGACAATCTCAACTAAGCTATAAATAAAGGTCTGAACTCATTCCTTAAGGTACGTCCTATTAACTGAGCAATACTACAATACGTATTCTCTGGACTATTTCTATGATCAGCACGTCTGACTTGAGCGTCGGAGGGGTTTCCGCCGGATCAACCCCCGGCGTAGTTCACGTGTGTTCATTTCGCAGGTACCTCAGGATCATCAAGTTGTCAAGCTACTGATCTGCTTTGCTCTCCCAGCTCATTTTCTACACCATCCCAGGTGATCTAAATAATTAGCATCATCAGTTACATATATATATATATATATATATATATATATATATTTCATGTATCTTCTGCAAAAGCTTTATCACCTCCTTCAATATTGCTGTTGCGAAAAAAAGAGGGAAAAAAACAGAGGAGAGAGAGAGAAATAAACGAGAAAGTAGTTTTGGAATTATGAAAATAGCACTTGGGTTTATATTAGCTAAGGGGTTTTCTCTAATTATTTTTGGGAGGGGGTGTTTTCTTAACTAATTTTCCTAGATGAGGGGGTTTTCTCTAATTTTCCCTTTATACAAACAAAACTTTTTTCCCCCTCATTTCAATACTAAGGATAAAAAAAAAAAAAAAAAAACCCTCTCTTCTTCTCCCCAAACCCAAACCCCTTAAACCATCTCTTCTTCTTCATCTTCTTACAAATTCTCCAAAAAATCTCCAAATTCAAAAACATCAAAACATCACAAAACTTATAAAATGGAGTCACAAGACAATAAAATGGTAGTATACATGGAAGGAGAACCCATTAAGGTATGTATCGGCCATGTCTTTTTTTTTTAGTTTCGAAGTCGATTTTGAAGTTTTTTTTTTGAAACCCGTCGACAATTTTCGACACATACATGTCGAAATTTTGAGAAATTTCGGCATGTGTCAAAAAAATCATGATGCGAAAAAAAAAAAAAAAATTTTGTAAACGAACAGTGTTTTTTCAACACTTACCTGTCGAAATTTCTCAAAATTTCGACAGGTATATGTCGAAATTAGTTTTTTTTTTCTTTTTTTTTTTTTTTCTATAAATATATTTTTCGACACGTTAGTGTCAACAATTGACAAAAAAATCGACCTATATGTGTCGAAAATTGTCGGCGGGTTTCAAAAAAAAAATATTCAAAATCGACTTCGAAATTCAAAAAAGACATGGATACATACATTAATGTGTTCTCCTTGGTCGTAAACTATCATTTTGTTGTCGTTTGACTCCATTTCGCAAGTTGTGTGAATTTTTAATTTCTCTAATTTTGAATTTTTTTAGAAGGGTTTGTTGTGAGGAAGAAGAAATATGAGGTTGAGGGATTTGTCAAGAAAGAGATGGGTTTGAGGAGTTTTGTGTGTTTGGTATTAAAGAAAGAAAAAATGAGAGTTTTAATGTTTTTATGGTATTGATTTTCATTAAGAGTATTTATGTCATTACCTATTTATTATCAAATTTTTATTTTTTTGTATTGAAGTGAGAAAAATTTGGTATTAGTTTTAGTCGTCCCCTACAATTCACTCATTTTGATGGCCTGATGAAAAAATAAAATTTGACCTAAAGTTAGATTATATTAACATTATTTTTTCTCAATTTCTTCCTCTAAATCTACTAAGATCTTCTACGAAAAATGGGAGGATTGGACGATCTTCTCACAATTGAGGTCGCCGCCATGCCGATGAATTAATTTTAAATTAAGCCAATCAATTACGATCCATTAATTACCGATGAATATCATATTTCTATGTAA